CTCTAGGACCCAGCAGCCCTGCTGTTAAATGCTCCACTGCTTCCCGTCTGTCCGGGCTCCGGGCAGAGCGGTGTGCCCCCAGGTAGCGTGGTGCCCTAGGCGGTTGCCTGTTCTGCCTATGGCTAAGGACGGCCCTGAGCATGCACTAAAACTGTAACAGACTAATCTTTTTTGGCTTAGGCACAGAGGGGAGACACTCAACACTCATTAGTAGGTTACATTAGCTTATACTTTAAATGCTGCTCTATTTTCATTCTGTTAACAACCTGGATTACCAGAACTCACGTTATTTCCTTTCAGACAACATGGCACTAATTTGGGTACTGGTTATAGCAACTCTATGCTAAAATGGCTGCCATAGCAGAAGATATTTTGTGATATGTCTTTCAAACTAATCTGCCTACTGAAGGGCATTTTAAACATGTACAGCAAATGTTATCCAAAATGTTTGTTAATAGAGATATGAGGTACATTTGCTATTGTTACTGCAAATTCATGTTTAGATTATGCAACTTTTATGAAATTAACATAACACCAGCCGTGTGTTTCTGTCTCTTTTCCAAGTACAGTATAATATTGAGGCAATGTGTACTGTTTGGATTTTCCTGGGAGGTAGTTTTCATGAGAATAATAAATAAAACAGATGTAACAAATAAATATATCTACTGTACTTTATTTTCTTATTAAATGCTGTAAACTTCCCATGCCACTGTTTCTTTTGAAAACACATTGAAATAGACATCAGAGACCTTTATGATACAGATTGTGATACAGTTTTAAAGGTGTTTTTACTGTCAGTTATCTGAAGAATGATGCAGTCTTGAGTTTAATAAATAAAATTGTAAATTATGCTACAGTGATATACCCAAGAAAATACTTCATTGTTGATTACATTATACTCAGTATAAATACCTTACTTATATTTATAGTAAATCTAAAAGTCCCCTTGTTTGGGAACTTACAGGCTAGGGGGCTGATTCATCAACCCTTACCTGAGTAATTCCCACTCATGCCAGCAGTCCTTTTGAACTCAATGGAACTACTTGCCTGAATACGAATTGTCTGAACGAGTAAGGTTTGCAGGATCAGGTATTAATTGTGGATGCTATTACATTATCAGACAACCTCCAGCATAGAAAGAAACATACATTTTATTTTAGATGTGTTGTTCTGAATTTTATGCAAACAATTATACACTGTATCTCAATCAACAAGGCATTCTTAGACTTAGTTACTTCTTGTTAAAATGGAAAATGTTGAGTTGTGAGATGGTTGTTTTATTTTATTTTTAATATTAATATGAATAAGATACCATGTTTCTGCAAAAGAACATTTTATACCAAAGAGGAAGTGTAATTAATAGTCATAGAATGCTGACTGTACAAACATTTGAACTAAGAAATATGCATTCACCTTGCCAGTATTTACAATAATATAATACCCTAGCTCTTATAAAGTGCTTTTTCATTAGTAGCTCTCAAAGCACTTTACTTTTCAAAGATAGGTAGGTATCATTATCCCCTTTTTAAGATGGGGAAACAAACAATTTATAACTGTTTTGCTAATTCTGCATTCTTCATTTTAAATCTGTAAAACTTGCTGTTATATTTATCCTTTCAAACTTCTGCTTCCATACATTTTACTGTGGCCTCCGGCTTGGTTTGAGGCTCTTCTGCTTTTTTCCCATTATTCTTTGATTCCTTCTCAGGAGTATTGTCAATTGACTTAGCGTCTTTGATGACTTTGGCTTCAATCCTTTCTTTTTGGGGCTTCTTGTTTGAAAATGGGCGGGTTCTCTTGTACCTTTAAATAGAAATATTAAAGCAAATTAGAACAGAAACACTACCAGGTAGCACACATATTATAAGCGCTGAATAATCACAGAATAGATTAAATACAAAGTATCTAGAATTATCAACTGATCCTGCAGGTCATACTCAAGCAAAACTCCCACAAAGCCATGGGAATGCTGAATTAGTCCCCCTCCAGTGGTCACATGGTTTTTAGACTTAGTTCTTAAATATTTTTAAATCAGACAACATATATCAGAAGTAGCAGTACATAATGGGGAAACGCAATTTCAGACATATGCAGCTTTTAGATTGGATTTAACAATCCATCGCCTTGAATGTCTGTCTGCATCACTATATAAGCTTTACAAATGTTAATCTTTCTGAACACAATCTGAAACCAAAAATTCAAGAATAAGAATTCTTCTATCAGGACTGGGATGGTAGAAAGGTACAAGAAGAAAAATATACTAACACTACAGCAGTTAACTAACTACTTAAATGTAGACAGATGAGCTGACGTGCAGAAATCACACACCTGGCACATGATTACTTGATTAAGCTCCTTCCTATGACAGGCATTCAGCTACAACAACAATAAAGTTTATCTGCAGAGCTACAGATACTCATATTTCACTCTTCTTTTTCATATGTTTTAATTAAATTTTTACTATATATAAATATGGATATTCATCAGCTGTAATCTAAGAGTAAATACATTATGAAAGAAAGAGCTTACTTTTTGATATAGCAGACTGCAAGAACAGCCGATGCCACAAAGAAGATGAGTGCCAGTACCAGGAGTGCAATGGGTACACCTAAAGATAAAATGATATAGATAACTGATGTGTTTATCTTGATTTTTTTTTAAATAGTCTTAGTTCTTAAATCAGCCTTTCTGAAAATTCATGTGCCTAAGGTCAGATTCTGCTAAAGGCAGCCTTGAGTAAGTGGGTCCAGTCCCCATGGAAATATCTAGTTCAAATTCACAATGACCTAAGCAGAGGCATCAATTACATTCATTTTGCACACCAGCTGAGTGCAAGTTACACTACTTTGCCATTTATACCCAGTACTTTTTCCATTAAAGTCAATGGTAGTTTTGCCATTGAGTTAAAGGGGAACTACTTCAGGCTTGTTTTGATATTTAGACTATTGTTTTTGTCACTGTTGAATTTGAATTATAATCTCAAAATAATCTTTACTGCCTATTAAAGCAGGGGAATTTAGAGAAATACATCACTACAATGATTTTGTTCAGGTATATGGCATGTTCTCTTGTTCTTTAGGAAGACATCCTATGTAAATTGTATGTGATTGCATACAAAATATATATAGTCAAAGGAAAGCTTTTTAAAAAAACACTTCAGTTAAGGATTGTCATCAGGATTATTAAACAGGAAACAAGGGATGAGCTGATGTTCTTTCCAGGCAGATAATGAATGCTGGATGAAAATTTCAGAGTCATTACCCTGGAAACGTATTTATTGTAAAACCGAAGGGCCAGGGTTTGCCAAAGATTTGTACCCAGACTGCTCTGTTAGCTATATAATCTACACAGTTGCATACATGCATATATTATTCTACACCATATTTTCCAAGTAGTACAGTAAAAGTTGAGGATCAGAAAGATATAGTGATTATTGGCATGTAAGAAAATGACACAGTTTTGCTTTTTTTTGTTTAACACTAGGTTTTGTGTGGGTGTTTGATAGCTCTATCCTGGCAGGTGTGAGAACCAATTAGGTTTTTCACTTGCACCAAGCATGTAGCGTATGTTGACAAAATTCCCATTGACTTCCTCAGAAGTAGGAACAGAACTTATGTGGTAAAATTCCACTGATTCCTATTAAAAAGCTAAGTAACGTTACATTTGATCCTCCACAAATATACTAATTAATTTTCAAAAGAAAAGGAATTTCCTTTGTGTTACTAGTTTTGGCTTTGCAAATCCTTATATTCTTATTCTGCCCGCATACACTCATGTGTAACAATCCTTGATTTTGGTTCTAGCTGTGCACACTAACCCACTATAAAACACTATTTAATAACTAGGGTACATATAAAAAAGACATATAGCCTTTACCTCCAAATACAACACTATCATTTGTAAAGGCAGCTTGGTTTCCATTAGGCACTGCCATCTCCTCTTCACTTTCCAAAATAGTCTGTACTGTTGGTAAAATGGTTTCCGTTACACATTTTATGCGAAAGGTCTTCCGAGATATTTGGGGTTTTGGTGACTCAGTAGCAGTAGGCGTCTCTGTGATGCCCTGAGATGAAGCTGTTGAAGATGAGTTTACTTCTGGATCTGTTGCAGATAACAGGGTTGTACCTGTTTCTGGTATGCATGAATCAATCCAAATATCTGCAAAGGGGGAAAGGCAGTGTAATGAGTTGCACGGGGCGCTATTGCAAAATTTTGCACATACCTGAGGCAAACCACACATTGATCTATGGTGGATATTTTCAGAAGTTTTTCTGAGGGTATGCAGTGTGGTAATGAGATGACCACTACTCATACCTATTGATACTAGAGTGACAAGGTGGGTGAGTAATATCTTTTATTGGACCAATTTCTGTTGGTGAGAGAGAGGAGCTTTCAAAGCTTACACAGAGCAGGTCTCTGTAAGCTTGAAAGCTTCTCTCTCTCACCAACAGAAGCTGGGCCCATAAAAGATGTTGTCTTGTCTCTCTAATATCTTGGGACCAACACAACTAAAACAACTCTGGATACAACTATTGATACTGTTTATTACTATGTATTTATTCACAGAGGCTTAGATTTAGCATGTCTAACTTTAAGTATAAGAGTAGTTCCAGATTACTCACCTGCTTAAAGTTAGGCACATGCTTAAGTACCTTTCTTAACAGGGAACAAAGCCCACAAGTGTGGCAAAACTCCTTTTACAATGGCATACAAAAGACAAGATCCTTGCCAGAAAGAGCTTACAATATAATTTCCTGTATTACACATGACAAGGAAACAAAACAAAATGGAGGGAAGAACTGAGTAAGAACACAGATTACATTGTCATGTGGTTACCCAGCATTTTGAGGTTCATTTACATCATTATGAGCCCTGCCTTATTAGTATGGTTATCCAACACTTCCCAGTATAAACCCCTGGTTTCACCGGCTTATAACTTTGCCAAACGGTAACCATTTTGACTGAAATTTTACATGCCTGGTGTCGACCTCAGACTGATTTTTTTTTCCCGGCCAAAGAAGTTTAGCGCTTTCCAAGAACAAGATTAGGGGAAAATATGTTATTTTGTCCATGTCAAAACATTCAGGCAACCTTTTCTTTGAGAAGTTATAATGCCCACACGCTTTGGAGCAGGGACTTGAAGTTTGGCAGTGGGGTTATATCTGTGTCAGGAATGTGTCTTTTTCTGTCCCCAAGAAAATACATGCAAATTTGGCCAAGCTATAAACCTTTGAAAATCTGCAGTTCACACATTATCCTAATAGGGTTGCCAGGTGTCCAGTTTTTGACCAAAACGCCCAGTCAGAAAGGGACCCCAGTGGCTCTGGTCAGCACTGCTGACCAGTCTGTTAAAAGTCCAGTCGGCAGCGCAGCAGGGCTAAGGCAGGCTCCCTATCTGCCCTGGTTCCGTGTGGCTCCTGGAAGCAGCAGCATGTCTCCCCTCCGGCTACTATGTGTAGGGGCTGCCAGGAGGCTCCACATGCTGTCCCCGCCTCAAGTGCCAGTTCTGCAGCTCCCATTGGCTGGGAACCATGGCCAATGGGAGCTGTGGGGGTGGCGCCTGTGGACTGGGCTGTGTGCAGAGCCACCTGGCCACACCTCTGCATAGGACTGGAGATGGAACATGCCGCTGCTTCCGGGAGCTGCTTGAGATAAGTGCCACCCAGAGTCTGCACCCCCTCCCACACCTCACCTCCTGCCCCAGCCCTGATCCCCCTCCCACCCTCTGAACCCCTCAATCCCAGCCCAGAGCCCCCTCCTGCACCCAGAACCCCTCATGCCCAGCCCCACCCTAGAGCCTGCACCCCCAGCCGGAGCCCTCACCCCCCTGCACCCCAAGCCCTGC